AAAGGAAATCTTTAAATATGCCAGAAACACTTGATGTCTAATAGCTATAAAAGGCAGAGGAGCTCCGAGGATCTTCCTGATCACCAAGCTTTCACATCTGCAGGAGGAATCTTAGGGCTGTTACTGCTACATTCACTCTTGTTTCATGACAGAATCCCGGTTGTGGGCATGAGGTGATGCCACATATGACGACTTCCTGTTTTAGCTGCTGCTGCTTTCTTTTTTTTTTTTTTTTTTTTTTTGCAGCGGGCCTCTCGCTGTTGTGGCCTCTCCCGTTGCGGAGCACAGGCTCTGGACGCGCAGGCTCAGCGGCCATGGCTCACGGGCCCAGCCGCTCCGCGGCATGTGGGATCCTCCCGGACTGGGGCATGAACCCGCGTCCCCTGCGTCGGCAGGCGGACTCTCAACCACTGCGCCACCGGGGAAGCCCTGCTGCTGCTTTCTTACTCAGGTTCTTAAAGACACTCACCTGGGTATGATCAGGATCTGGGTCACAACCATGTGGTCTCTGGCTCTAGCCCTAATCCATAAAATAACTGACCCCCAGCTCCTGACTCATTCCTGATGTCAGGAATGTCTGAGGTATATCATATGTGTTCACAAGGCATTATGCTTGGTGACCTCCCTTTCCATGGAGGCTCCTGAATAGCCCTGGCTGCTACGATGATGTCACTCTTCCTCAGAGTAGTTGTTGCTGCTATCATCATGTTTCCCAGCACCACCCATATTGGTTACATTTCCTCATTCTACTCTGATCCTTTATCACATAGTTTGGGGGGCTTGAATTGGGGAAAGGAGGTTGGGAATGAGTAGAGATAAACTCTGCTGTTATGAGGCACAAAACAAAGCAGGCTTACACTCCCATCTCATCTTTCATTTATCTGGCTCCTCATTTCAGTTCCTCACCCTCCCCACACCCTCCAGCCAGGAAAAAAATTGTGAATGGGACATCGCTATGGAACTCAAAACATCGTACAAACTCTCTCATCTCCAGGCAATGTCCCTGGAACAAACACGTGTCTAGTTCTAATGCTATTCAAGGTCTGTTCCTTTCCCATCTAGCACACAAACTGGGAGGCAAGTCAGCACAGGGTCCTAGGTGTGGAGCCAGAGACAGCCCAGCCACAGTCTCATTAAGTCAGTGCATTTCCTCTGAAGCTTTGAGGGTGCCTTCAGTCAAGTGAAATCCAGGCCATCTTGCCCTGCCAACCAGACATGTCCAGATGGAAAGCTGTTTAGGGACTTGCTCTGGGACCATCAGTACTCATTTATGAAATGATTCATATGAAAATGAACGATCTTAAAAATTTCCAGAATATAATGTAGCCTCCAAGAAAGGGTAACGACTGCAGTCACCTCTTCAGGAATTCAATAGGGTCCTTGATCAAGTAATGGAGAAAAACATTTCCAGAAAGGGAAACAAAATTTGTAGATGTACTCATAGAAACAGGTTTGGTTGCATATAATAAAAATGGATGAACAATTTGGTGAGACTTTCAAGTGATGAAAATAATTCCAGAGACAGTCAGGCTGTCCACTTGGGCCTTAGAGTCATAGATCCTTGGAGATAAGAAGTGGGAAAGAAGAGGCAAACACCATAGTTTAGAAGGCCATGCATTGAGTCTCTGTATGCCAGAGCTTCTGCATGCTTTCTCACTTTTTTCCTGCTTGGATAACCGATTTCAATGATCTACCTGAAGTTGTTGTATTTCTCCAACAATTCTTCATTATGCCGGAGTTGTCTTCCTAAGATACAATGTCAATCATTTTACTCCCCTTCTCAAAAATCTGCAATGGCCTGTTTTATCCATAGGAAAAAAATGTCCAAACTCTTTAATGTACTTTGGTCATAAACATCCTTTACCAGGTTTACAAAAATAATGGGTAACATATAATGAGAAGCCACTGGCACAATGATCAAGAGACTGGAGTCACAGCTCTGCCACTAACTAGCTATTAGCTCTTGGGCAGAGTTATGTAGCCTCTAAGCTTCAGTGTCCTTTGTAAAATGGGGATAAGAATAGTAGCTAACTCACTGGGCTCTTGTGATGGTTCAGTGAGAGTAAATGAGTTGTATTTCCCACATATCCCACGTGCTACCACTCTTGTGTGTTTTCTGTTTCTCACATCTCCCATTCATTGTCATAGCTTTGCTTACATTTTCTCAGCTACACAGTCTGTTTCCCACGCCAAAACCCTCCACCCATTTTCCACTTGCAGAAACTTTTCTCAGAATTCCGGACCTGCCTTGAATGTCACCTCCTCTAATAATGCATCCTGTGGCCCTTCCCCCATCAAATATATACTTCTTTATTGTCCTCCACATGTACCTCTATTATCCCTTCATTCAGCCTCATGTTAAATTTTGTAATTCACATATTTGATTCTCTTTTCTCCTGGATTATATATCATCTGAGGTTCATCAGTTACCAACTTTTATTTAACTTTTCTTCCATTCCTAGCACCTATCAAAATGATTTGTACATGATAAACACTCCCTTGGTGGTAATTGCTAATTAAAATTGACTTGTTTTAAAATTTCAGTCCTTCTATTAATTTAGTTTCCTCTCTGATAAATTTCATAAGACAGTATGTAAGAAAATATTAACTATCCAAATTGTAAATATTAATTTTTATTTTAAAATTATATGGTTTTCCCAAAGCAATTGTGGCATAGTATAAACATCCCACTCATAATTTGGTTTCCATTACATTATGTGACAGAAAAATTATTCTCTAATACTTAGAAATTCTTAGCTGGGATTTTAATGCAAATTTATTTTTTCATTATAAAAGTGATATAAAAATATTATAAAACCTTGGAAAGGAGAGTGAAAACGCAGTACACATTCCCACCTAGCAAACGTGAGCTGTTTCCTAAGGCCTTGCTACTCAAGGTGTGGTCTGAACCAGGAGCATCAGCGTCAGCTAGAATCTTGTTAGAAATGCAGAGTCTTAGGCCCATCTCAAACCAACTCAATCAGAATATGGTTGCTTTGCACATTAAAGGTTAGAAAGCACTGCTCTAAGGTACTACCTAGAACCCAGCAGAGCATGTTTTACCAAGCATCTCCCTCCTTCTAACAAATATTTATAGAACACCTGCTATATGCCAAGTACTGCACTAGAGCCTGTGTTTTCACTTGAAAAATTTCTTCCAGGACTGACTCAAGAATATATGGAGAGCGTGATGCCTTCTTTTGAAATGTTTTGAAATGTTTTCTTAGACAAACCAAGTAGTTTTGACTGAAAGCTGTCAGGTGTGCAAAACGTCTCATTGTGAACTCGTTCCACTTCTCTTGTTTTCAAGTTCTCACACAATGATGACTCTAAGTCCAATGTTTAATGCTTTCTTATTCTGTGCCTTCCTTCCATTAACAGCTGAAAAATAAGAAAAAAAAAGTCACTGAAATTGACATTCCACAGTAAAGCTTAAAGAACACTTTTTGTTTGCTTTCATAAAATTTTATGTTGAGATTTAAAAAAAAATTATTTTAAGTTCAAGGGAAGCCCAGAAAGGTGACATTTCAAAAGTAAATCTATAGTGTGATTGGGGGGGCGGCTGGCATTTCATTGAACAAAACAGCTAGGTGACATATTCCCAATATGTACAGCACTACACTGTAGTGCTCTTTAAGAATCAGAAGCTATATGATAAATAGTGTAGACGTTCTTTTTATTAACCAAGGCATACTCCTCCAGGAAACAAACAAACACAACTTTTGGTAATATTACACAGCTCAAAAGGCTGAAAAAGCAGGCTTAAATGAATGTTAATAATAGCCCAGAAGAGGAAATTTAATAAGATGTCAAAAGAGGGCACTATACAACAGCAGTTATGTGTATAGAAAAGTAGCTGCATTGCTGCTGTGTACTTACCTTGGAGATGAGGCAGGGCCATTCGGTGACAGTATCAGCGGACCTGCGGGTCTGTCTGTACACGAGCCGTCAGTCTTCTCTTGGCACACAGGCTGCTCCTTCCTGTTCCCGTAAGCCCTCCTAAGTCACTGAGACGCTGCCTGGCCTGAAGCCCTCCAGGACCCCACGGTCAAGGTCAGGGTGTTTTTCTTGGTTTGCCTGTTTGCCAAGGTGTTCCTGTGATTATCCGTGTGCAAAATTCTCTTATCATTAAAGACCCTATAGTTTACACCGTGGAAAGGGACCATTTGAAAGCGCAGGGAACACTGCAGAAAGCAGAGAAATGGGTTTCTATGCCTACAAGCCTCAGGGCTCGAGGATCTCATTCCAAAATGGGATTTCCAAATAGTGCCACCACATGAACTGCTCCCACAAGGCCGCCAAACTTTGATTTCGTCTATGAAAAGGGGGTCATACCACCAACCCCTCCTGCCTTAGAGGGATACTCTGAAGAGCAAATGGGACAAAGAATTTGGAAAAAGATTCCAAACAACAGACAATAAAAATGCAAAGTATCATTATTTCCTTCTCTGTAAAATGGGAATAAGTGGTGTGTAGGAGAATCTTAATTAGGTAATGGTTGAAACACAAACCACCCTTGATGTTGTCGTCCAAATATGATATACTGCACCTTTCTCAGCCTCTCAGCCTCTCAGCCTCTTTACCTCTCATATTTCTGCTGCCTATGTGGTTTATTGAAAATGTAATACTCTCTGTGTAATTGTCATTGTGTGTGTGCGTGCGTGTGTGTGTGTGTGTGTGTGTGTGTGTGTAGGGGAAAGAAGGAAGGAATCGTATGGTTGCATTTAACCTCTGAGTGCTGACAGCGTGAAAGGCCCGTGGAAAGACCTGTCCGATCCAAGACCTGACTGGTCCAAGCGTGCAGGCTGCAGCGGCGGCCGTCTACACATTTGAAGGCCGGAGTAACAGAGCAAGGGAGGCCGGGCAGCGGAGGGGTGGACGCCGCTCAGAGGGCGCGGGCCAATCGGAGCGCTCTCCGCCAGCGGCCAATCACGAGCCGCGTCTCCAGGCAAATCTGCCCGGCAGTGTGGGGCGGGGCCGCCGGGAGTCCGGGCGCCGCAGGTTACACTTCTGAGCGCCTTCTGCGTTACACTTCTGAGCGCCTTCTGGAAGCCACAGGGCAGCGGAACCTGTGCGAGGAGCCGGTGGAGGGAGGGCAGGCAGGCCCAGCTTATGTGCCAGCCCAGTGACAGACATAAAAGCGTAAATCAGGCTGAGGATGGTGCGTCCGGGCGCTCACGTGTATGTAGACCTACCGGCGTGTCTTTCTGCCGTGTGGGTACCTGTAGTGTGAGTGGCTCTGGGCGTGGCTGCTCGTAGGACGTTCAGTTTCTGTAAGATTTATCTCGAGGGGCCTACCTTTCCCTGGCTCCAGAGGGGGAACGTAAGAAGTTTAACGGAGCCGAATCTAAGCAGATTAAGGGAACAGCGGCTGGGCCGGAGAGGGTGCGGACTGCAGGTGCTGAGGGGCTAGGAAACCACGTCTTTGCCCCGTCTCCCCCGGCAGAAAGGCCTTTTGGCAAGACTGGTGTGACAAAGGTGGCCCTGAAGTGTTAGAGAGCCCGGGCAATTATGATCGCTGAGTGAGTGGCCCTGGGCTGAGCCTCAGCCGTTGACTGATAGAAAGGGATGCTAGCAGTTAGGAAGGTAAGGAGGAAACTCAGGATGGGGACCATCTGCTCCCCCAGTCCCAGCGGGACAAAGACATTGGAGGTCTGCAATGCTGACTGGATGGCCTCGCTCCCTCCTCTCCTCCACAACGTCCCCCTTTCCAATCTGGCAATCCCAGGTACTCTTCTGTTCTTACTTGTTCCCACTGTGTTTGCTTCTGCCATTTTAGTGTTGTTAATGGGTTGGGCTGCTTTTCTATTGTGCTGAGAAAATAATTGTCAGTGACCTTAACTAAACCTCTTTCTTATTTCTAACTAAAAACTTAACACTGAAGCAGCTGCTGTAAAGAGATTTAAGTACGCTGCCTCATTGGCAAAAGGGAGTCGAGAATGGAAGCGCCATTTTTTGTTTGTTTGGGTCTTTTTGTTTTGTTTTGTTTTTACTTGATAGACTGACTCTAAGAACATTACCTTCTTAATGTTGGGGCCAGGGTATGTGAGGGGTGCGTTTCTTGAATCACTCAAAATTAAAAGGAGAGATCAAGGGTAATGAGTAAAAAGTCATTAACAGTTGTAGATCTGGATCAACATTAACACTGTAAAGTATTTCCTTTCTCATTTATTTGACCTTTCATAGCAGAGAAACAAGAAACATGTTAGCATTTAAGAAGAGGTTCAGAACTAGGACTGAGTATAAAGACACATATTATTGTCGTTGGAAAAGACAGAAATTGAGAATGCAGGTGCTCATCACAAGCAGGCATTAGGTGTGATGAGGTGGTGGTGTTTGAAGCTTTGTCTATATATATATACAGGTGTCTGCCTGCCTGATCTAGAACCGAAGCCTTGAAAAGCACTTCTGCACCAGCCACTCGCTTTCTCCTGGGGCTTTTGTACTGTGACATCACTCTCATTAGATTTGTTAAGTGTGTCCTCTTCCTTCCATTCAAAAGCTGGTTAAAGCTTGGTTTCTAGGGAAGGAGGTTTGGACTACAGTGAACTTGGTCTCATGTGCTGGGCAAAGTCCTAGATTCTGATGCTTGGCGAGCACTCCCAGGAGCAGGGGAATGGACCACTGCCAGTCCTTTCTCTCACCTGTAGACATAACAATTGACTTCACCCCTAGACTACCAGAAAAACTCCCAGCCATCCCTGGGATCAGTCTGCTTTTTGGTGGCAGACAAGACGACCTCACGCAACCCCAGGTCTTTGCTTTCTCTGCATGAGGAAGAGCCATGCTGGCTTCAGATGCAGCCTTTCCTTAGGCGCCTCTTCTTTTGGAGGTTCCAGGTTCATTGTCCTCATGGGCTCTTGTTGCTTTTGAGCAAGGAGAGGGTTGCTAAATCTCTTTATACGTATGATCACTTGTGTTTTATCAGCCATTGACTACAGCTCCTTGGGAAATGCCATATGGTCATGCTTCAGAACAGGTCTTTTCCATGTTTAATTGACGCCTGTGGAGTCATCGCTGAAATGTTGCACAGGCATCTTTTAACATGAGTCATATGTCTTTCTGATGGAATTGTTTTGTCAGGTGCTACAGCAAATAGTATGTGTTTGCAAACAGAATGGCATCTTAGGCAGGCGCTTAATGGCTCTATCATTGGGGCACGTCTGGGTAGGCTGGGACTTCCTCCTTCCTGTTGTACTTTGGACAGTTCAAACCACAGCAGCAGCTCTGCCCATGGTGTGGCTGTGCACTCTGACCCCATGACTCCAGAAGGGAGCTGGGCCTTTGTTCTGCAATCTATAGGGTATCTCCCGGTTACTAGAATTGCCAGAGTTTGTCAATAGTGGGGCCTGCTGGAAATTCTGTGGTTAGCCACCGTGGGAACACAGGAATTTGTTCACCCTGCTTTGTGAAGTCCAGTCCTTCTAAGCAAAAAAAAAAAAAAAGTCCTTGACTCCTCAAAAGATATGGCACTCATTGCTATGAATGCCTTATTCCCAGCAGCGGAAGGAACATGAGGGTATGTGTGTATATATATATAAATATATATATATATATAGCTCAAGACAGGAAAATCACATATTAAGTGGCAGCCATGCCCCCTCCTCCCCCACCCCTGCACCCCTGCCTCACCACTGGCTCTCTCTTCCCTACTTCAAGCTGAATATTCCCCGGCTAAGGACTGGCAGTCGAGTTCTGCCAAGACTTACTGAGAGGTTCTGAAATACAGACAGCATTCAGGAAGTGGAGGCCACTATGTTGCTCCCTCTTCCTCTCTTCCTCTTCCCTGTCATCATCACCTTCATCATAATAGCTATTATTTCCTGAGCAGTCCCATGCAGCGCCCACTGGCATACATTACCTCAAATCCTTACACCTCCAAGATGGGTAGGAACACCCTCATTTTAGAAATAAGAAAATTATTGTCCAGAGAGGTTAAGTAATTTTCTCAAGATCACACAAGTAGTAAACAGCAGAACTAATATTTAAGCCCCTATGTAGCTGGCTCCAAAACCCACGCACTGTCCCTGTGCCCCTAAGGAGGCCTTGGGAAGTGCAGAGCAGCTGGGGGAGGGGGGAGAATTCTCTAACTGAAAACAGTTTTCACAGACTATCCTCTGCAACAAATGAAAGAATTTTTAAAACTAGGTGGTTTTTGCCTGAGCAATTATAAATCACTATCTAGCTAGATATACACACAGATGTGTGTACATATTATATATCTGTAATATAAATATATAATTTTCATATATGTATATATATATATCCTTATAGATATATATATCCATATATAAATATATATACTGGAACCCAGTAAGTTATTCCTATTTGGAATTGGAATCCAGTAAGTTTTCAATTCAAATTTAGAGCTTAGACCTATTCTGTATGTGCATGTGTGCTTGCGTGCGCTGCCCCAGGGCATCTGTAATATTGGGTCAGCTCTGTCAGGGTGGGAGTAGGGTAGGCGTGATGCGGGAAAGGGCAGAAAAAAGGCAGGGGTTCTGACATTAATAGCAGAACCGGGATGGAGTAAACTATGTCAGATCTGAGTGCATCTGCTGCATTTGCCTAAGTCATGATGGGAGAGAGCAAGTGTGAACTTGCACCTCTCAACAAAGCCTTGATGTATTATTTCACTTCCACAACTGTTAAGAACACCTGTTAATGACCACTGTCACCCAAACATATTGGCATATCTTGGAGAAGAACCTCAGAACAGTTCTCCCTGCCAACTGTGTAGAATAATTGGAGACCTTAAGGGTAAAAACATCTGGAAACTGCAAAAGTCAGATTTTTAAATTAAAGCTTTGAACTCTACGAACAATTTTGCTGATGTTAGTGAAAGCATGGTTTTCTTTATGGACAAAGGGACTGATAGGAAAAATTTTTTCAATGATGTATACAGCTTTTCCATGAATTCTTCTCTGTATATTTTAGTGCTATTTCTCTCTCTTTTTTTAATCATGTTTTTCCCTTCTTTTTAACAAAGGTAAACAATTTGGTTTATTGGAAAGAACCCTGAACGTAAGGGTCTCAAAATTTGATATTGTTGATTCTGGCTGTGTGACACTGTAGAAGTATCCGAATTTCTCAGGACTTAGTTTCCTCATTTGTAATTAAGATGTTGGATTAAATGAAATGTAGAGTCCTTTCCAAATTAAAAATTCTTTGATTAGTTTGAAGGGTTTTTTTTTGTTTTTTGCCTATTCACCTCTAAACATAGAAGAATGACTGGGTCATTTTTGTCTGAAGGTCATTTCTCTTATACCTCTTCAGAACAAGAAATTATTTTTGGCCTGTGCAATCAGAGAATCACAATTGCCAGAAGGAAGCGAGGTCTTCTCACTTTAGCATCCTAAAATCGACTGTAGAGTAGTTCAGATCGAACAGACTCTGAGTACGTTTTAAGAAACCTCCATGCTCAGGCCTGTGGCAGACCCAAAGGTGGATCAAGCTATCAAATGAACTTACATCCTAGTGATAGAGAGGTTTACACACACACACACATATGTGTATACATATCTTCACCATACACGATTTTAAAAAACTAATTGGGGTGAATATTATAACAGAGATGTAAATAAAATGTTACAGAAACACAGAATGGAAAGATTAATTTCTGCTTTTAAGAATAGGAACGACTTTGTTGAAAAAATGGCATGTGACGTGGGATTTGAAAAATGGTCAAAAATTTCAAGGAATGTGGCCTGGGGGTCAGGATTGGGAAGGGGGCTTTCCACTTGAAATAAGCCAATTAAGCTAAGGGATGGAGATATATTGGGGAAATGGCTGGAGGACTCCCTCTGCTGCCCCTCAGTAATGCTTTGTTAATATCTTTATCATTGCCCTTCTCCACACATTGTTATTTCTAGGTATCTGTCTTCTACATCGTCTGTGAACAACTTGTACACAGAGAACATGGCTTATTTCCCCTTACAATCCTAAGTCCTAGTACAGGGTAGCAGCTCTGTCACTGGTAACTGCTGAGTGGATCTTTTGGTGCATGGAACAGGAAAGTAAGGATGCTGGAAAAGTGGCTTGCAGCCACCATCTTTTTCAATTGTGATCAGAGGTAAACTGAACAGATAGGTTAGGTTCTCCTTCTGGGAATGCCGTATGAAACACTCGGAATATTTTCCAATCCATTTCTTGTTATCTTTTGCATAATTTTCCCGTAGCTCTAGATAAGACTCATCACTGAGCCCCATTAGAAATGGAAATTCTCAGGCAGAGTAAGATGGTCAGAAGGGTCAGAAGCAGATCTCTGTGTCACTTCTGCCCTAGGAACAGTTCTTTCACCCTGCATCCCTTCTGCCTTCCTTCTTCCCTTGTCAAATGTAAGCGTCTCATGTTTCCTGTCTGGCTGCAGCCTCAGCCTGCTCTCATTTCTTGTTCCCCTTCCTTCCACTGACCTGGCCTGTATCCCGACCTCTCCCGTTCCAGTGTCAGCCCTTGCTCAGACCTCCTCACTGCTCTCCAATTCCCGGAGCGTTCTCTGCTCTCATCTTGCTGATGACATTCCCTTCTCTCCTTTTTCACCTTTCTGGAATCCTATCCTTTTCCTATGCAGTCCTGCCTTTGACCACTTGGCAATTTCTGTAGCTCTTCTCCTGTGGTCCCTCACTCACTCCCCACATGTGCGACAGGGAGACAAAATCATTACAGGGGCAGGATGTAGGGAATCATTACTCAAATCCTGCTTCTGGAAGTTGGATCAGGTGCATCTCA